CTGCGGGAGCCGGTGCTGCTCAGTGTGTGGCTCCGTGGGCCGGGGCTGCTTGGCGCGTGGCTCCGTGGGCAGGTGACAGTACAGAGGGTGTGGGACCGAGCCGTGCAGTTCAGGCTACTGCCAGGGAAGCTGATTTCAGACAACACCCCCTCCGCTGAGGAACTCACTGCCACCAGACTGCGTCGGGCCAGGGCTCAGCACACAGCTGGCAGTGGCTACTGACGCCCTGGGGTGTGGTGCCCATGTGGGGAGGCTTAGGGGTTACACTCAGCACCAAAGCAGGGGGATGCATTGGGCTCCCTGGCCCGTGGCATCAGTCCCCGTCCACCTGCCCCAGCCCTGTTTACAGGGCCAGGATTTACTGTCCCTTCAGGGAACACTGGCTAATCCCCCCCCCGTCCCCATCCCGAATCACTGATTAAAGGGAAGCCAGGTGCAGAGCCAATGCCTGTGCCCCGTGCTGCTCTGCTCCAGCCAGGGACTGGCCCAAACCGCTTCTGTTTATTGCGGAGACACCTCGCACGCTGCAGGCTCCTCGCGTGACAGCCCGAGAGCAGCCGGGGCTGGGTGCGGGGCCTGCCACAGCAGATGCTGTGGGTCAGATGGAAGGGACATCGGCAGAGCCTTGCAGGGTGGGGGCCAGGGCTGGACCAGGGCTATGGGTTGGGACTGGGGGCCCTGGCAGAGCAGGGGCCAAGGGGCTGCAGGTCGGGATTGACAGGCATTGCAGGGGCCAGCCCACACGTCCCTGCTCTGTGCTCCTTGGCAGCGCAGTGACTTCCCAGCAGCCCCCTCCTCTCCTGCCCCCCGGCTCTGGGCCAGCCGTATCCAATTCTGCTCCTGGCGGCAAGCCAACCTCCCTGCTCAGCCCTATGGGGGTCTGGCCCTGGCCCTGCCCGTAAATCACGGGCCGTGTCCTGTGTCTGCCAGCACCCAGCAGCACAGAGCCATGTATGTCATGGAATCCCAGGGTTGGCAGGGGCCAAGGGGCTGCACACGGCTGCTTGAGTCCAGAGCCATTTGGGTGCTAATGCCGGGGCTCCTGCCACCAAAGCTTCTTGCAGATGGAGAGCTGCAGGAGCCTCAGTGCTGCACAGCCCTCTGTGGGGAAACTGAGGCCCAGAGAAGGGATGGCTCTACCTGTCATCATAGAGTCCCTCAGTTGAATAGAACCCAGGAGTCCTGACTTCCAGCACTACTATCCCCCACCCCCAATTTCCTGGGCCCTTGTGTAATACGGGGGATTTTGGGGCAATATTTTTATCAAAACTATTCACAGAGCCAGAGATTCCAAGGCCAGATGGAACCACTGTGATCGTCATCTGACCTCCTGTATGACACATTGTGTGACTCAGTTTCCCCACTCCCAGTGCATGGCTCCCCACTGGCTGGGAATGGGTTGATTTCTCCTCGTGGAGTGGGGGTGGCTTAGCACAGGCTGAGCATCATGGACACTGTCTGAGTTGGGACCAGACATATTAACAAGGTGTGATGAAGCTGGAATTTTGTGTAAACATTTTATTAGTCGGCTGTGTGCCTCAGTTTCCTGTTCTTGGCATGGCTCCTCAGTGGGGAAAAACAGGTCCAAGTCTGCTGTCAAGATGGACTAAAAGTCACAGGTGTGTATGTCACCTCCCAGTCTGGCTGGAATATCCACTAAGTCCGTGTTTCGCAACCTTTTTGTTTATAAAATACCCCTTTAAAACAATTTATAAGTACCCCCAGTACCTAGTTTTCAGACACACGGTTTTTTTTTCTACCATTGCAACACTTTTGTTTAAATAACTTAATCGTAGCCGGGCAGGCGATACAATTTTTGGGTGTAAAAAGTACAAAAATAATAAAGCACAGAAAAACTTAAAACAAAAATTCCGT